GTTTGGTGAGCCCCGCTCTTGGGATGCTGAACACAGGCAGATCACTATGAATCCAATCTACATAGTGAGACCCTGTAGAACCTGTACTAAATACAAAAAGAAAAAGAAAAAGAAAAAAATCAAAACCCGCATACAAACAAAAAACTCAGCATGGTCCTTAAACACATGAGCTAAAAATGTGTCCTAACTGATATTGATTGTGGACAATTGCCCAACACTTAGAAAAGCAGAGGAAGTATATCAGCTATCAAGTGCTCTTTCCTCTTTTTTCCTTTGCAGTGCAGGGGATTGAACTCAGAACTCTGCGCTTGCCAGGCAGAAGTGCTCCTTTCTGATAAAGGAAGCAACTGCAAAAGCTTTCATTTGTTCGAAGTAACCAGTGCTATTGATGTAAAACAGACAAAACCCAACAATTCCCCCAAAGGCTACTTTCAAAACTGACATACTAACTTCATTTTTATTAGAATGCTGGTTTTTTATGCTAATAAGTAAAAAACCAAGATATATTGGTAGGCGGATGGATAGACAGACAGACAATATAAGGTAGTGAGCTTCATCTTCTGGACAAGAATGCCAAGTTAGTCTCTCTTCATAAAAAGCAATTACAAGTTAAGGACATTTCGTATTTGCCTCTTTTGCAGGCACCAAGTCACCCTCATTTGAATCTTTCCATTTCATGAGAAACATCAATTCTTCAATTATCCATGAGGCCAGTTACTTGTTCAGGATCAAGACGTCTAGCAAAAGCCTCTAGGTTTGTCAGCAGCATCTCTTTTTTTCTTAAACTTGCTGTCATCAGATTCACTGTCAGATAAAGGTTTTCTTTTTGTACCATCTTTTTCTTTACCAGCTTTTGAGAATTTAAGAAATACCTCAATTAACTCTGGACAATCTAAATTTTCTTCAGTTTCCTGTGTATCATCAGCATCTTAAATCTCTTCCTCTTAGAAAATACTTCACCTTCCCATTCACTACACGCCAATGCAGTACTTTTTCTACCACAAATTCTTCAGGCTCTGCTTCATGAATTTTTTTGTTTTTTCTGTTTTTGCTTCTTTCCCATTTTTTGCAGTGTTATTTTATTAGAAGCCATCTTTTATTGCAGACTTGAAGAGCTATTATTCACCGACTCAGTTGCTTGTGTTAGGGGTCTATATCCTCTTGGCCTGCACGCCTGCAGCCCCACACACATCCACCCAAGCAAAGGGGCCTGGGTCCCCTTCACTTTGAACACACTTATCTTGTCATCCTTGTCACTTTCTGAAGCAGTTTTAGAAGTCATCTTTTGTGTGCTGTTGAGGTTGCATTGATGTCATGAACTGATTCAACCATTTACCTTTTGTGGTCATTTTGAGTTTGGAAAAGAGCCAGAAGTTGCACAATGCCAGATCCAGTGGAATAAGGTGGAGGAAGACACAGTGCAATGTTATGAGCCTGCTTTTCTGTTGGATGGCCCTTGGAAACAACGTTCAACTTATTTTTTTTTAATCTTATTTATTTATTTATTCATTTGGTATAGGGTCTGGCTGTGCAGCTCAGACTCACCGTGATCCTCCTATCTCAGCCTCTTCAGGGCTGGGCATATAGGCATGCACCACCCTGCCCAGTTTTGGGGCTGGCAGGACATGTGGTACCAGGGATCAAACCTGGGTCCTTGTGCTTGCCAGGCAGTCACTTAGACCACCGAGCTATTTCTGTAGCCCTAAACTTATTTTTTATCACACCTTCTAAAAACATGGAAAGGAATTTCCAAAACTTCTTTCAACAATGGAAAAAACAATGTGATTAAGTGTATTCTAACTAAGGGGTGATTAATAGCAATGTGTCTTTTATTGTCATAAATTTTTAAGTTTTACATATTCACTGTATATTTTGATCATGGTTACATATATAGACAGGTATAAGTTCCTAGAGACATGCAAAAGGTTCATGTTTCCTGACTTCACTCTTAGCAGCTTTTCATTGTGTATTTTCATTCTGCATTTTCATTCTGCAGTGTCCCTTCATGTGTAGAAATCTGTCATTGTTGAATCTTTCTGCATGAGCTAAGTTTTTCATCCATCCAGATCACTCCTCTTTGGCTCGCTCAGTGTTTTCTGTTTGGATTCTGCCTTCCGCCGTCTCTCCTGTCTAACCCCACCTGTGGTGGGTATAGGATCAGTGCTTATGGAGGGCTGCTGGAAGTACGTGCCATTTGCTGTCCATGCACATCGCCAGGCAGTCTGCGGGTGGCCCCGAAGCCCGCGGGTCCCTGTCACGCTGTGCCGTGGCTCAGGCTGCCTAGCAGTCCTGACTCCTCCTCTCCCAGCCAGCTGCCTTTGCTCTAGCTCCTCTCTTGCCTGCATAGCTGGGTTTTTACATCACACCTTCTCTGTAAGCACCCTCAGGAGAATTCTGTCTTGCTTTCATTCTTTCTACTGAGGATAGTTCCATTTTTATAATTTCTTTTTTTATCCCTTAATTTATGATATATTTATGTATGCATGTATGCTTGTTTATGTGTGCAGACAGATAACTAAACACACCAATAACTAAGTGAATAAACAGAACCAGAATTCAGCTTAAAAGTGTTCTCCTGGGTATGATTCCTTAGACCTATTAAACTTCATTGGTCAGTTTAAAAAAAGCATTCATGACTCTCATGTTCTGCTGTTTTCCATTGGAGCTATAGGTAAAAAGCCTTACTGGAGAGTAAATGAACTAGAAATACTAAAATCTACCCTCATCGTTTTGGTGGTTGCTGAGATGTTTGATTTATAGTTGAGTAGTCTGCATAAAAAAGAGTAGCTGGAGTTGGGATTGAAGTGCAAAGAATACCTTAGGTTTCTGTCAGCTACCCTTCAGCCTTCACACAGATCAGAGCTCTTGCACACTTGCTGGGATTAGTGTAAGCTCCTACCATAATTATCTTCTTTAATTTTAGGGATCTACCTTCTGGATTTAATCTACATTGATTCTGCATATCCTGCCTCAGGCAGTATTATGGAAAACGAACAAAGGTCCAATCAGATGAACAATATTCTCCGAATAATTGCTGATTTACAAGTTTCCTGCAGCTACGGTTAGTACCCTCGGTTGTTGGAGCTGTGAAGTCTTGCGTTATTGCAATGTAGATTCAGCACTTTATCAGTAAGAAAGCATCAAAAACCTAGATAGTTCTTGTGGAGCTCTTGATTTTAATATCATTTAATATCTCATGGTTTTAATATCAAACATATGCTAGATCCTTTATGCATAGGTTTGATTTTCAAAGACTGCAGACTAGATGTGACTATAGCGGTATTACACTGAGGAGAATGAGGCTGCAAACAGTTGAGTCATTAGGATCACACACTTGCTGCAGTGGAACCCCCATCTCTGACAAAACAAAACAAAAAAGGGGGTATAAATAAAGGACCATTTTGTTATTAAAAAACATATATATGTACATATATACACAAGATAGGT